AGATGTATTTTAGTCTAAAATAATATGAAGTTTCGAGCAGACTAAAGACACACCCTACCTCCTTGAAATATTGGTTCAAAAGAAAGAAATAGCATCAAGCCCATTAAAATGGCTAAGAAAGCCACTAGGGAAACATTCTGAGCTTCTGATTGGTTATTCATGTCATATAAAGAAATAAGTATATATAAGAGAGTGTTTTCAAAATTGGAAAGAGGTGGGTGGGGTGCCACTATGATTTGAGTTATTACATGAGCAATATCTTAGCAAATAGAAAAGATAAGATGTTCTTATTTAATATTCTAGCTTGTCAATATCGGTAATTTGAGTTTCTGATTTGTACGAAACTATAGACTGAGTATTTTGGCTTCACAAACACCTAATTTGAATCAGTGCTGCATTCAACATACCACGTGACACACACAAAAATCTATGTTTATCTGTTTTTTAATATTTACTTTTAAATTAAGAAATTGAGTAATGTATAGTACTAAAATTTGAATTGTAATTTACAGTTTGATATCAAACTTACTGACATAAATTCATGAAATAGTAGTTCAATAAAATTTTGAATGCGAGTCAACAAATGATATGACATGGCCTTTCACCTGTGACCCCTCTTGAAAAGGTTATTCTACTTAGTTATAATCTAGCATCCTAAACAAGCTTTTATGACAATCACACGTAAGTCCTTCTATTAAAGAATACCAATGTGTTTCTCATATACCCCACACAAGGGGGTAAGTTTACAGACATACAACAGTAAAAACCCAGGGTTTGATTCTTTGTGGTCAACAGATCACTAAACTTCTTTTTAATGTCCATAGCTGAAGTTTATTACTGTACATTTTCAACAATAACTATAAATAGTATTAAAACATATAAAACAAATAATATTTTGCTCTTTACATTTGCCATTAATTTCATTGAATTAGGTTGACATTACAGATTTTAGCAAATATTTTAGTGGTAGTGTTTGTTGCTTTAACTGTTTCTGCCTATTTCTAGAGTGGGACATCATTTTGGATTTCGTACTGAGGCCTTCAGGTTGAAGGCATTAGTATAGAAGCCGAAACATCGTCCCACTTCATAAACAGGAAGGAACATTCCATTAAAGCCAAACCTCTATGATGTATTCACTGCCAAGAATACCCTTGAAGCAATAAATGTTTCAATACTGGACAGAATTTCTCTTAAGTTTTTTATGTTAATTGTATATTATGGTCTTTTTTAGGGAACAATTGTGTAGGTGGATAATGTTTGTCTGTGTGTGTGAAAGCTGATATTGTTTAAAGGCAAATTTAGTCACAGTAGTAATTCAAGATTTAATTCAAAATAAATGAATATTAGATGAAAATATAAATTTAGTGACTGATGGTAATTGAAGAGTAACATATAGTCACTTTGTTTAAAATTCAAAAAAGAGAAAAACAACCACACAAGTTTGTTTGTGTATTGTTGGTAGTTTGTAATATTGGCAAAGCTTGCCTTTTTTCACATAATTAAATGAATAATTAATTAAACCACAACTGATAAATTGTTATTTTACAGTATGCTTCACTAATTGTCATTATATTTATATATAACATCTGATGTGTATGATTACTATTACATTATATATATATATATTTCTACAAGTTTTACATGAATGTAGGAGAGTAATTAATACTAGTATACATACTTAATCTGTTGTGTTTTTCTGGGTAAAATTGTTAATGACTTGAATGCAACTATTTAAGTTGAGACTACAAAATCAACCATTTTGTCATTCTACAGATAGCTCAACACCAAGGATACATTAAGATTAATTGGAGCCAGTTAAGTAAAGACATGGAGACAGCTTCAAAACATTTAGAAAAACATGCTCAAAAAGGTTTCTCAAGATACCTAGAACAGGTAGTTGAAATAAATGATCCTTCTAGAAAGAATTTCGTATTTTTTTTTAACAAATGATCACTGACTCAATGGCAGAAAATATGACTGTTTTGGTTGGAAATCTGGAAGCTTGAGAGTGAGATGTAAGGCATGACCTGGGGATAATTTTGCCATTATTTTAGTACTCCTCTTATCCTTGTAATATACTTGCATTTTGGAAACAATCTTCATATTCTCCAGTCCTTATCCGATCATAAATCGCCTTTGAATCATCAAGACTTGCACAATATCAAATTGTTTTTGCTTTTTTTTTACATCTGAGGGCAAGCCGTTGGATACATTTGTACGTTTATTGTTCTTTCATGTAGACTTACCTCTCTTTGGATACTTGACAGCACCTTCTCTACCATAGCTTCTCTAACCTGTCTTATGACTAACTTTTTGAACAAACTTGCATGCCATCATGATCGCATTCACACCTACTACATTATAATACCATGGATTTTGCAACATTACATTTGCAGCTTAGCTTTGAATATGACCTTGTTTCCATCTTGACAAGAACAAACACTCGAGAGATTTTGGCTTGTCTCTTCAGTCCCTCGTAGGTTTCACAAAAATCTTGGGAATGGTGAGTGTTACATGGATAATATATTACAACAATGCCAAGGCCATTGTTTGAATTAGAGAACAAAAAAAATCACCCAACTGTACTGACAAAATAAATTTTATATTCTTTGGATGATATTAAATTATATATCACCATACAACCCTGGATTTCCTATAAAATAATAAATATTCCTATAGAACAAAAAAGACTAAATACCAGATATGGTCCCTAAAAAGTGTCCTACCATTTGTGCTGCTGTTGAGTCAGAAATAGCTTGTTAAATTTCTACATGTTGTGATTTTATTTCATAGTTTCTAACTTATACCTTTAATAAGGAAATATATTAATTTTGTAGTTGATGTTCTTTGAAATGTGTCAGTTGTTCTAACATATCAACATTCAAGCACTTAATAAACAAGAAAGACTTGAATTTTATTAACACTTGTATTCTTCAAGTAACTCAAAATTTATAATACTATGATTCTTGCATATATTTCTGCAAATAAAACTGAATTCAACCCCAGAAACTGGCATAATGCAGAATGTTTGTTTTGATCCATTAAAAGTAATAACTTAATTGTATTTCATCCCTACTGCTACAGTGGACATTGCTGAAGTCTTTACATATATATATGTGTGTGTGTATATATATATATATATATATATTATTTTTTTTTTTCCCCATTTTTACCTTCATTCTTTATTCATCTTCTCATTTTTGGGCCTCCTTCAAATTTTGAGGCCGTAGTGCGCCTGTGCTTTAATCTGGACTCAGTGACTGAAGTTAAGCAAATCATTAAAACATTAAAATTGAAGACCCCAAACTTTCATAAATATGTTTGAAAATCTTTCATTTAACAAATAGTTTCATTTCTCTAAAGCAAGGTTATTAAAATATATGAAATTGCTATGAGTAAACTTTTTGACTTAACATATTAAATATTATTTTCTGATTTTAGATCTAGGTTAATTTTTATATATTTCTATTTTATTTGCAAACTAAGTAATGCTTTAGGGTTTGTAAATCGTGTTTCAGTTAACTTGTATTGATTTACTGAAAATGACACATTTCTATACATTTTATGCAGAATATGAGATCATCATAATAGTCCATTGTGTAGCTTTTTGCTTAACTACAAAAAAATAGAAATGACAAACATCAAATCAAAATTGAACTTTACCTAGAAGATATGTAATCAGTTAATGCAAAACACAATGTTTAATTACCTAAATTCAAAAAATATAACTTAGCCAAGACGCATCACAAAAACATACAATTTGATAAAGGGGTGATTACCTTTGTAAGTGTTTTGGAAGTTTCTTAAGTGGAGATATTACAAAATATTTTGCTTAAATATAAAAATTGATTAAAAGCCCCTGGGAAATTTTGTATTGAGATGTGCCAACTATATTTTCTTTACTATAGTTTCATTGTTCAAAGACAAAGCATGTTTTGTTTTTGTTTTTTCAGAAATGTCATTTACTTCATAATTAATTTATTCTCATTCACATGGTAGGGTCAGAAATTTGTGAAAGAGAATGTTGTCTTAGCAACAGGATTTGCTGGAGGGTTTCTAATAGGGATAGCTTCTTCATAGTACAAGCTTGCGATGAATGAAGGCAGTTAGCTGTTGTAGATGATGAACTCAAACAAACAGATTTCCTCTTCTGTTTTGCATTCATCTTGTCAATCTTACTAAAATATCTAGAGAAAGCCTGTGTCACACAGTGAAATTATGGTTGACGTTTTGGTAAAACATCAGCGAACCTCTTAAAAAAATAAAAGTGTACATTTGGAGTTGTATTAATGTATTGCTTTACAGTCACTTAAAAACATTAGAATAAAAAAGAAAAAAGAAGTTTAGCTAATGTTCTGGTTTTACTACTGAGAAATAAATACAGCATTCAGGAAACTTGATGAATTTTTAGGCCTGAAACATTCATTCTAGTGTGAATCCTATCTTTTTTTGGACAGCATACATTTTATTCTTATAAAACTAACAATTTGATTGAATGTATAATAAACTGAGAAATTTTATTAGCTATTTATTATTAGTGTATTTTATCTACTCATATAAATAAATATAATTTGGCTCATGTCTGTAATTATTATTTTTTTACTTGACGTAAAGCATCTAGATTTAGCTCAGAAAATGAAGGATAAACAGATGTTATTAAATTGCTTTTCACAACTCTTAACACCAGTGTTTGTTAAATAAGTACACACAAAAGTGTGGTAAAGCTAATGAAATAAATTTTACAGTAGCATCTAATATGTATGTCTTGTATATTATTTTCTGAGAATTTTACAAAATTATGACTTTTAAGAACCAGGTCTATATGACTTGTTTTGTCTAAAGAATACAGTGATGTTGTGTTATTATTTGAAAGCTGTTTTTATACAGGTCACATCCATGTATTATGCTGTAATGAAAATATTGACCAAATATGTGTAAAAGTTTGCAGTCAACAAATTTTAAGTTACCTTTTAACCTCATGTGAATTTAATTTTTACTATTCATATTAATCAACATATAGTGGCTTAACTTGGCAGAAACAGGGATGAGGATATTTATCTTATAGATATTGATCTGACAATTAAAAGCCAAACATTTAAGGCTTATATGATTTTTAATTCAATACATCAGAGTTATGTAACTTAATTCTCTCATTCAAGCTGTGTTCAGTATTGAAGAAAAAAATTCCCACTCCAAATAAATATAAAATACTTTATTGGTTTAATTTCTCAAAACATAGACTTGTAATATAAACCAACAGGAGATAACTTTTGTATAAGACTGGTGATGTAAATGTATTTCTTAATTGTATGGTTTATTAATAATAGTGATGAAAACATTGTTATTTTTGTACACTTGCCGATAGTTACTAGCAACAAGTCAGTGTTGAGAAAACTGCAACAGTCCCCAGATAAATAATGTTGATAAAATCATATATATATATATATAGACATAAAACAAAAAAATTAGTTGTACTTGAAACTTTTCTAATGCTGAAGATTTTATTTTCCATATTATGTTTATTGCATAATTCTGAAGTTTCATAACATTAGAAATAGATATATGAGCTAGAGTACATTAACAGAGTTGTCACCAAAGAACACATCGCTCCCGTGCAGGATTCATTTCTGATTTAGCCTTACAATTAAATACTTCAGCAAATTCTGCCATGTTTGATAAGGAGCCAATAACTCTGAAGAAGGAAACAAATCAGAAGATATAAGGTTGTGAGCAAGTTTCAATCAGATACATATTTTTTCTAACTTCTAAAAATTTTGATTTAAAATAAAATTATTTACATTAATTTCAAAGATTAAAGTAAAAGTGAAAAATAACAACATTTCAATTACTATTTATATATATAAAAATAGTTAAAAACAAGTAGTGTTATCAACTTGTACTACTATATAGAACACAATGAGTTAAGAACATGATGATGATGAGTAAAGTAGTGTTACCTACTTACATTAATCTATAGAACATGATGAGCCAAGCAATGTTATCTATGAACATTAATCTGTGGAACATGATGAGCCAAGTAGTTTCTCTATATACACTAATCCATAGAACATAATGAGTAATGTTGTCTACTTACACTACTCTATAGAACGTGATTATGAGTCTAGCAGTGTTATCTATGTCAATTAATCTGTAGAACGTGATGAGTCAAGCAGTTTCTCTATATACACTACTCCAGTGTTATCTATGTAAATTAATCT